GTATGTCTTGATTTTAAGCTGCTATGTTTTTCTTATTATTGCTATAATTCTATAATAAGTTGATGCAGCTCTGCAGGAAGGGAGAATTTAAAGTAGATCTCTCATATAATCTTAATAGTAACGAGACTAATTATAATATTTTTTTAGAATATTGTTTGCATAATTCTTATAAATAACATTAAAAATAGAATTGTTCTGAAAAACAAAAAAAAGTGAGTTTGTCAGCTCCGGTGCACAACTGAAATTTACTCCTTACGAAACATTATAAAATATATAGATTAGTAAATGTGGGTAAATGAACGCATTTTTATGCTACTGAAAGCGTGCATGATACATTTACTTATATTAATCATATAATATATATTCATCAAAAAATGACTGTCTCGTTGGTCTAGTAGTTGTAGTAGTGCGACTGCTGATCATGAGGTCCTGATCATGAGGTTCGTATCCCGGGTCGGGCCAAAAAATTTATTATTGAGTTTTTCTGTCAAGAAATTCTCAGTAGCTGCCCGGAGTCAGGAAGTTTGCGGTATCTCACCCCCGTGCCTCGGAAAGCACGTAAAGCCTTGATCCTGCGCCTGATCTCTCTCCAGGTCGTGTCGGTTTACTGTCCCATCGGTTTACGAGAGTGTTGTGCTTGCGCATACACTTGGGCACTATAATCCTGTCTTGCGCCGATGGCTAGCCTACGTTGAGGCAGGCCGCCGTGGCCGAAATTCGGTCTGGAGGACATTATTATTATTATTTATTTATCAAAATATATTACATAGTCATGGAAACGTAAATTGATTACGTTTCCCGTACATTACATCCACCGAGATCACATTCGCATGAGTCTGTACCGACTAGACAACAGACACTCGCCTGCATTGTATTTTTGGTTGAAGTCCCGAGTCCCGACTAGCCTCGAGTCTCGAGTATTGGGAGACACAGATAGAAAGACTGCGGAATAGTGTAGTTAAAAAAGGACAGAACATATTATATATAAGGACACAACACGAGTACGTGTCACGTTACTTTTATGTGCATTGAAATTTTGTTAAATTCAAATGACTGACAAACTAATGATTTAGGAAAAGACGACCCGAGTTGAGCGCCTAGTAACTACAGTCTACGGCAACAAAATACGAGTACGACACGAAGGCACTGTGAGACTCTAGATGGATCGAGTATTTTAAAAATTGGAATAGGTGCAACCTAGTCTCGTTAAGGGGATATAGTAAGTCAGCTCAAATTCTAATATCGTCCCCACTTGCCCGCGCGTCGTATTCTATGTACAGACAAGTTTGTAATCACTAATACTGTAAGTAGAAAGGTCGTTAGACACTTATTTCATTAGGTTTATCATATTTATGCCTGTTTCTTAACGCCAAGCCAGTCGCTTCTTATTTTTATTACGGTTATTTCCCATTTTAATTTTACGTCGTTCTGTTGCGTAATGTATATTCTGATCGTAAGCGACACAACCTCCTCCCCTTCAAAGGCCGAAGCGAAGTGACCGGATGGCAGGAATCACGCTTCAAGAGGCCGATAGTTTAGGTAATTTCTTTTTTACAGTGAAAATAATGGTATTTAAAAAAAAGTAAATAACATAAGCACTGCTTTATAGTTAGTTCAGTTAGTATGCAAAGTTTCATGACAAGGATTAAAACAGCGGTTTATTGTTTATTTTGGAGGTAACTTTGGTTTTTTTTCTATCGAGAAAATTTTACGAAATCGTGTTTTCGTCTAACACATCCTTAACATTAATCCTCAACTTTACCATATATTTATTTGAAAATTAATGCTGCAATATTTTCGGCATAACGAAGGATCTTGCCCGAGATCGCTTGAAGTCCCTGGATTTGTTCAAGTACGCTTCATATCTAGTTCAGAGTCCCAGGCATACAATTTTTGTCTGATATGAAATTAAATCATATAAAATTAACTTGTATCGGATATGTATATTACTATTAGGTATGGGTCGTAATTGTATATCCCATTCCGAGTAAAATGGGGTAAATAGAAAAGATTTCAACTTTTGAATCGAAATTTCAGTATGTTTTAGCAAACTCTAAAGGTAGCAGTCATTGTGTCTTGTGAGTTAAGTGTACCAGTGGAGTCGAAAAGGAGGTCAATAAAAAAAATGCTAGGGTTGTCAAAATTTATTTATGTAGGTACCTAGTACATAAACCTACAAATTATTTATTATAGTACCATTCACTTTAAAAACATAAAACAGGGATCGCAAATTATATTTTCAATACAAAAACAATTAGGGCCAATCACCCATACAAAAAAAAACTTTTAATAAACATAACAGTGAATTTTACTGAAAAATTATATTGAGTCCGTCAGCTAGATTATCAAAACAAATTGTAACAAGGTATTTTTATTTTGTCACTTAAATAAAATATGAAGATGATACAACGCCCTAAAACTTCGGATGATGTCACAAGATAGTACAATTTTAGTATTAAGAGGGTAGACGGTCTGCGCGGGAATTGCAAAATAGGTATTTGATGAATCTATTGCCGTCCCTTACCTCTGGTCTCCACCCAAAGAGTGCGATAGGGACAACTGCAGCTCAAAACGATTTTACCTACAAAAACCAGGACCGATCGTCGTTTCGTATTCCCCTGTTTTTTCCTCGAAAACTAAGCCACTTAAGTTATTTTTGGTATCAAATTTTTAAGGAAGAATAGATCTATGCTTCTATCATTTGCTTTTATCTTAAAAACTTTTCAAATCTCTTTGGTAGTAGTCTGATTATGGAGGTAAAAATGGGGCATTGTTTTAGGTTTTTGGAAAGTCATATTTATTTTTGTAATAATTTTTTTGAAAAAAAAGTAAATGACATTGCCTTCAAAAACGGTTGCTCTAGACGCATTATCCAGGAAGTAAATAGGGAAATACATTTCTATGGAAAAAATGCAGCCCGTCTACCCTCTTAAGATACGTCACAATCCCCACTCCAGATCCTCTACCATGAGTTGTCATTACGAAGACTCGACCATACTTATCGACTGCGTTTGGCTCTCTCATTGGTTAAGAGTTCTCACAACCTTGGAGCGGGCCAAAAACGCGGTCGATATCGATGAACGAGTCTTTGTAATGACAACTCATGGTAGAGGCTCTGAACTTTAATGCCCTTTACCAATGTCAAGTTTTATTAATTTAAGGAAGCAAAAGATACGTGGCTAACGTTTTTTGATATAACTGACGGACTAAACGGAAATATAATAATGATATGTTTATCCAGTAAAAATCCTTTTTTAAATAAAAAAATAAACGAATTTATAATAATAAATAAAAAAGCAAAAGAATCTAAATAAATCATTTAAAAATAAAACCCATGTGAATTAATAAAATAATCACAAAATTAAGTTAACATTTCTATTAATACGTACGTACGTGAGTAAGTAATTATTATAATATTATTTGGCGCATTCCGTATGTATATTTAAGTATTATCATCTAGTTAGTATAACCCATAGATGTACAGATCGCGGCTCGCCGGTCGAATACTGTTGGCCCGCCGACAGCAAAAATAATACTCTCGTACATTCGAAAAATATTGAATTATATTCCAGAATAAAACAAAAAAAAATATGTTCGAAAAGTAGTTTGAATCTCGCGCGCGCTTTCTTAAGTGCGCTTATCGGTTCGCCGTGCATGCGTCGGTAACAGCGGTCGGTAATGTTCGTGCTGATCTCGGTTAAATTCGTTTTCTTGAGGAACCGCCGCGGCCGGCGGCGCGGCGTCGACGGCAGCGCGGTGGCGGCTTATCCACGGGTTATATTGTTAGAGCAAGCGAGATAGCAATAGTCCCGAATTCCCGATTGCTCGCGTAAGTAGATACACGAAGCTTCCAGAGTCGGTTTCGTGCACAGAGTACCTTTGTATAAACTGAAAGTTTCGTGATTTCTCCAGACAGTTTACGACTCTAAAGGCGCGGTATAAAAGCCACGCTAACCGCAGCGACCGACAGTTCGGTTTTAGTTTGAGTGAAGTGTCAATAGTTCTAGTGTAGATTTTAACTCGACTAGCCGGTGTCATATATATTGATCCACATTCAACGTAGATTTCCCGTCAAGTGCCGTGTATAATTGTGTTGAATTTTTTTTTTTTTTTGTTGAAATTGTGTCAAATTTATGAAACCGTAAGTAAAACTCGATTATTAATAAGTGTTTCCCTACCTATTTAATCAATTATTTTTGGTAATTTAAAAAAAGGATGGGTAATTGTAGTACTGTAATTGTTTTAGGTGCTGTGTTAATCCTAGCCAGGATTAGAACGCAACATGGACAAGCCAGGACCTAGTAAAAAACGTAAGGTTAAAGATGAAAATCGGCAGTTTCAAGAAATTTGGACTGAGAAATACTTTTTTGTATGGTCGCATAACAAAGTCGTTCGTTTAATTTGCAAGAATTCTGTTGCGATTGCAAAGGAATATAATGTCAAAAGGCACTATGAAACGCAGCTTTTACCGCTGCATTGATAAAAATATGTACAAAGAGTTGCGCATATACGCTCTGAAATTTGCCAGCTTATTTGGTTCTACCTATATATGTGAACAAACCTTTTCAATACTAAATAACAATAAAACAAAAAATCGAAACCGCCTTGCAAATGAAAGTTTGGAAGCAATTTTACGTGTTGCTACAAGTAAATTTGAGCCAAATATACGCATAAGTAAGCACTATGCAGTGCCACGCTTCAAATTAATAAATTCTTTTTCAATTTTAATACATTATTATCAATTCTTTATTGTCTTTAATTACCTATACTTCTGGCGGCCCGCCATCAGTTCATAATTTGCCCGAGTGGCTCCTAGTCTTAATAAGTCTGTGCATCACTGGTATAGCCTCATCGTCTTTAGAATACTTGCTCGGTCTTGCAGTCTTCTTTAAAATTATTAAAGGCGCTTCAGGGGAAACTTTTTGTATTTCTTATCATAACTAATATTCTTGCGAGTTTCTAAAAAGTTTTATTTTCTATTATCTCTATTTTTTCTTTTTTCATCTTCCGTAAAGTACTGAAACTTTACCGAAGATGAAAAAGGCTTTAACTTCTGCCACAGATTCTTCTTCGTTATTTCCTAATGGACTGTTTGATTCACCAGCACGATCAGACTGACTGACGTTGTTAAGACCGGTTTCTATATTTTCAGCTGCTGCTGTAGGGTTTATTATTAATAAATCACTTAGTGGATAGTTTGCAATAGTTAGTTCTCCTCCACATACCAAGTCATCTTCAAAATATACAGGCATATCTAAAACACTGTCACTGATGTCTATGTTATCATTTCGTTTGTCTGTAAATGCATTGCCTGTGCCTACATTTTCCTCTCTGATATCATATAACTCCTCCATCAACATGCTTGCCTTCCTTTTTGTCTTTTTACCGATCCCTTTTCCTTTAATAATTTTATTTGAGTTTGTTGTTTCTTAAGGCAATAGATTTTCTTTTCCACTGAATTATCTAGTTATTTTATTTTTCTTTGTAGTTTTGATGTCAACACAAGGTCCGAAACCTTGTGTTACTTCGGAGTCTACATAATCCTCAGTAGATTCGCTAACACTCTTACCTGCCACCACGTCGAGTTTCCGCTTTCTTTTTAATTCTTTTACACCCATATTACCATATCGCATGTCATTTAATAAAGTTCCAACAGACTCATCCACTGCTTCCCTTTGTCTACTGCTATTGTTCGATTGTGTTGGTATTCGAGATAGCACTTGTATAGCGTCTAAAGGATAGATATCAGTTTTTTTTTAAAACCGGCTTTTAAATTAGACTCGGCATTTTCTTGTATTACCTCCATTATGTCTCATTGCTGCCATCTGTTTTTTTTTTTCACTTAAGAAGTATTTGCCGCCAGGCTGCCTTCATGGGCCTAAAAAGACTACATCGAGAGGTTGAATTACTTGGTTAAAATACAAAATCAATTTGCTGTTCTTTGCAAAGTTTTATCATATCAACCGACAAATGTGAAGATAAATTATCGCCTATTAGTAGCTTTTTTCCCGGTTTATTAGCGAAGAAGGGAATGACGATGGATTGTACCCAATCTTCAAAAATTGTAACATCGAACCATCCTGATGCCAAACGATTATACCTTGCACCTTTAGGCTCGTGAGAAATCCATGTATTATATAAATTTTGTGCTTTGTATACCCCACGTATGGTGGTAAAATCTGACCATCTGCTGACCCAGCTATCATTAAGGAAACACTGGCCTTTGTGTGGTGCATGACGCGTTCTGGATACCTAGTGCCGCGTTTCGTAATAAATTTTTCTACGCCCTGGATCATCGGCGAGATTTGTCTCGTCATAATTGACGATATTTGTTGTGATAAAATTACTTTACGTATATAGTATTTTTACGCGCTTAGGGTTCGTGACAATGAATTACCCAAATTAACACTTTAGTTACTAGGGTTCGTGACAATAAAAACTGCCGATTGAATTACCCAAATTAACACTTTAGTTACTGAACACCAATTAAAACTTAAATCACACTAATAATTAATCAGCTTAACACTTTACTTCACTTTATTTCGCTCCGAAAACTTCGCTCGTATCGCCAATTCAATACTGCCTCGGTCGCGGCACGTAACGGCATTATATATGCATTTTCCACTGAAACATCTAGAATATTCCAGCAAATACCGGTAATCTCGGACACCTAAACAATCACTATAGTACAACTGTAGAACATCCGGCACTTTAGCTTTCGGGACAACCATTTGCAAATGAAAGCCGTCTCCCCGACCATATTCCCATTTACGGCACAGAACTCCATCCTGAAGCAGCAAGCTGTCCCATTGAGCCCAATAACTTTTCGTGATCAAACTGATCGCTGAGACGTCGCTCCACTCGGACTTGGAAGCACTGGCCTTCATCCATTCCAGAATCGGCTTGATATCCGGATCTTCCTGCTGTGCATGTTGTAGGCAGTCCTTCCACTCGTTGCTGAGTTGGTCTGTCTTGAGCATCCTCACAGACACAACTTCTTTACCCTCTTACCTAGTACAATGCTTGCAATATTCAGGACAAGGTCTTTTGACAATGCATCTGTGTTGCTATGAGATTTCCCGCTGCGATGTTCAATCACAAAGCCGTATTCCTGCTGCTGCTGGGTGGTGCTGTTCACCGCACAACCCTCTAGAGATCGATTACCTTCCTTTTTTTACAGTTCGCTTAGGGCAGCTGAGTTGAAGATGGCCCATTTCCCCACAGCCGTAGCACCTTGAGCTGTAACTTTTATTAGGGTCGCGAATTGTAGGTGCTGCAACCTCCCTAACGTGAGGAGAACGATGATCCTGCCGCTGCTGGGCGGTGCCGTTAGCCGCATTCCCATTCGAGATCGACCAATTTCCCTTTCTACAGTTCGTTTTGGGCAGCTGCATCGAAGATGGCCCTTTTCTCCACGGTCATATTACCTAGGGCTGTAGCCACTATTGCGGTCGCAAACTGTAGCTGCTGCGACCTCCCTGACGCGATGGGACCGATGATCCTGCCGCACGGCTTTCACCTTCAGTGCATGGGCCAAGGCGTCCTTAAGCATATCGTGGTGCCCGAGCCTCATAGCAGCTCTGACTGCAAGGTCGCGGATGCCGTGGATGAATGTTTGCACCAGGCTCCCTTCAATGAGCGTAGGTACAGACCGGTATGCTTTTCGCACCAGTTTCTCCACCTCAAGAGCCCACTGCTGCAGGTTTTCGTTATCACGTTGCACGCGATCTTTAAGCTGCGCACGAAAAACGTGTTACAGGTGTGCGTCGCCATATCTCGCCTCCAATGCCTCAAGGAGCTGCTCAAAAGTCACTTCCTTACCGAAGGCTTCCAAAATAGTTAAGGCCTGGTGGCGCAGGCCTAGTGTGAGAGCAGTCATGGCCTGACTTTTATTCCAGCTGTTCGCTTTCATCATCATTCATCATCACTACAGCCCTTCACAAGTCCACTGCTGAACATAGGCCTCCCCCAAGTAATGCCGCAAAGCACGGTCCTGAGCCACCTGCATCCATTGACTTCCTGCATATCTTACCAGGTCGTCACTCCATCTAGTGGGGGGTCGCCCTACACTACGCCTACCGGTACGAGGCTCCCACTCGAGAACCTTTCTTCCCCATCGGTTATCGGTTCTTCGAGCTATATGGCCGGCCCATTGCCACTTCAGCTTACTAATCCGTTGGGCTATGTCGGTCACTCTGGTTTTACTGCGGATATCCTCATTCCTGAGTCTATCATGCAGAGAAACTCCGAGCATAGCCCTCTCCATAGCTCGCTGAGCGACCTTGAGCGTCCTCATACGGCCAGCAGTGAAGAACCACGTCACAGATCCGTAAGTCATCTGGCAACACGCACTGGTTGTACAATCTAGTTTTTGGAGATTGAGGTATACCTGACGAGAAGATATTCGCTTTCATGACAGCCTCGAACTAGATTTTGTAGGCTGACCATGAAGAAGTCCCATCGAACGGCGGCACTTTGAATCCACGTAGCGAAGGTGTTGTAGCTACTACGGGAGCTGTAATTCCATCCCCAAGTTTGAGTCCGTCCAGCGTTTTCTTCACTTGATTGATTTGGGTTTCAGCTTCCGAGAGGCGGTTGTCATGTTGAGCAATCTTATCCTTCACCTCCTTTATCTCTTTTCCGAAGGTAGCGTGAAGGTCTTTCATACGGAGCATCTGCTTTTCCTTATCGCGTTTGAGCTGCTCTTCTAACGATGGGCCTGTTCCTCCTGCCGGCGGGCCTGTTCCTCTTGTCCGCCCCGCAGCTGCTCTTTCAATAGGCGTACCTGTTCCGCCCGCTGACTGGCCTGTTCCTCCTGTCGGCGAGCCTGCTTTTGCAGCATCATCATGAGAGCACCTAAGTCAGGTGCTAATGTAGGAGCTGCTGACGGGCAAGCCTCCGTGGCTGGCAGTTGGCCCTCCGACGTCTGCGTCGTTGCACCACCAAATCTTCTCTAGTCCGTCTCCTGCTGGCGTTGACTTTGGGTACGGACACCCTCCGTGTCGTCCTTCGGTTAAATCGACATGATTTGATTCCACTTCTGACACCGATTGTTACGAGCTTAGAGTTCGTGACAGTAAAAACTGCCGATTGAATTACCAAAATTGACACTTTAATTACTATACATGCTATACATGGAAAAACTGTGTTCAGCATGTCCTGATGATAGAATTGACCAAACTGCAGATCGCTTTATAGTTAATGTTACAGACAGTTCATCTGAATACACATCAAGTGAAGATACGAGTGATGCTTGCACCGAATAAAAATAAAGTTTTTTTTTTATAGGATAGGATGACAAACGAGCACACAGTCCTCCTGATGGTAAGCGGTTGCTGCCCATAGACATCTACATCTATCCTCGATTAGGAATCAAAATGCAGGTGCGTTGTCATCCGTGAGGACTCAGGTGGAATACCTCGTTTCAAGTAAAAAGGGTCTCCGGTTTTCTACACTCACCATATGAAACACAGCAGCATTAAGCTACTATTTGACGCTGGTATTCTTTGAGAGCGTGGTCCTTCCCCGGTCGAGCCGACCCATTCGTGCTAAAACTATATTTCTAATATAGCTTTTCCATTAAAACAAATGTTTAAAAATAATTAAATCGCGCTAATTAAAGTAGTAGGAATGTTTAAAGTTGAAATTGGCATTAAAAGGCTGGTAATAGAGGCATCCGCCCTAAAAAGCGTGAATATGAAATTTAAATCAGGTGCGTATAATCACTCTTTGAGCTTGTAGCAAACTAAACGTGCGCCCAACGTGTGGACGCGGCGGCCAAACTGGCAACAATCCTTTGATCTTTTGTAAAAAACCGACACCACAGGGATCTCGCGCCAACTTGTGGGCCATCATTCCAATACATACCAATGAAGCCCAAACACCCGCTCTACATGATGGTCAATGCTATTGGCCACTACATTCGCCACTGTGTTGGCCAACGTATAGAGCCGCCGTTACAAATATTTAAAATTAATTTGATTAAAAATAAAATAAGAATTAAAATCGTTTATTGTGAAAACAGTGCAAGACAACAAAATACTACCTAGGTACTTAGACCGGATATTAAAAATTCAAGTATAATCATAATGGAAATTTGTCAAACTACAACCTATTAGATAAAAATATCTTTTCGGCCTCTCCCTTAGTCGTTTTCTACTACACCTTGGCATTTGTACGATTTCTTAAAGATTGATGACAGGTCCTAACAACAAATTTAACACATATTGGTTTCCATACCAACTATTATACTTATATTAGTGCCTGTAGACATCAAGTCCACCATTTGTGTTTTTTGTAGCAATAAAGAATAAAAATAAAATAGTACCTATTCCTGAATAGCATTAACTTTTAATTTGTTAAAAGTTTTAATTGTGTAACCAAACAAAGTTTGTCGAGGCGCAGACACTTACAGCAGTTTGACTTTAATTAATGTTATGTTTTACTCCAACCTATATTGAAAGTTTCTGAAAGAACTTCCTCTGTGGATAATAAAACCAATTTCTTTTAATATTGTAAATTACTAGAATTAGAGAATAAGGGTGACAAACGAGCACACAGTCTATTTGATCGTAAGTGGATGCTGTGGCATTCTACATTTAACTACGATTAAGAATTAAAATTCAGATAAGTTATTACCCCCGAGGACTAAGATGTAATGCCTCGATTCCAGTAAAATGGGTCTCGGGTTCTCTACACTCACCATACGAAACACAGCAGGATTAAGCAGCGTACAAAACTATTATTATAGAGGGTTTTATTTACGGGAAGCAAATTTTCTAATTATAAATAATAAGTGTGCACTAAATTATAAATTAAAAGGAAAGAACAATATTTGATGCATCTTACTATAAGCTTTGCTAATGGAAAATTGTAGGATATATAGGTAACGTAATATGTATTATTTATTAACCTTAACACAACAAAGAAAATCTAGTTACCTTGTATTACAAAGACGCCTTTATACTGACTAAGGCTATTCGCTACGGACCGTTCCTACGGGAATCGCTTATTATGAATTCATCTTTACAAGTAAAGCAATATTCGCAATAAGGAATAAAATGTATTAGGAATTTTATTTTATAAAATAATAACCAATAAAGAAATATACCGTTCAGTAGCGTTGTAGGAACATATTCTACCTAATATGGTCCCGTGGGTGTCCTTAATGGCGACATGGGGAAAAAACCGGGTAGACGAACAGTCGCGTCTTCTTTATAATAAATAGAAAAAAAAATAGTGGTTGCCAACCCGCTTCCCAAGCGTTGCAACTATGGAAATTATCCCCCTTTTGAAGCAATCTGTGAACAAGTCATGT